CGTATAAAGTAAAACACATAAAGTTAATACGAACATATAATAACATTAATACCCTTTATATAATAGCTAAATATAAGAGGGAGGGAAAAAATATAATAATAATAGAAAAAAAATAAATAATGTAAATAAATATAATAATAAAGAAGTAAAAAATAGGGTAAAATACAAAATGTGTACATATATATATATATAATATAACATATAAATGAAATAATACTATACTAATAATAAATGTATACGAATGTGTAAAAAAAAATAATAATATAAAATATATATAAATATTATAATGTAATATAAAAAGATAATTAAAACTAATATCCCGAGAAAGGACTAAAATGAAAGAATTGCAGGCTAGAGGTCAAAATTCAAAGCAATATCGGGGTCAAGATAAATCTTTAGAAGCTGCGAGGGACCAAAAGGGTAGTTTACCCTAATTTATTAAAAACACGTGGGTCACCGGCATAAAATCAAAATCGTTTCAGAAAAAACTTATTTCCTTCATTTGATACAACCCAAAAACCGTGAGCCTTTCCCCATTTCACAGCATTCTCTCGCCTGTTCTTCGAGATTGAAGAACAGGGTCCCTGATCCCAGATTCCGGCCACCATGGCCACTTCAAGCCGCCTCGCCGGCCGCCGTAGAACGGCGCCGGCCGCCGTTCATCGGCGGCAAACCTTGAAAAGTTTCGTTTTTTCTGAAAGCCCACAACACCCTCGTCACTAAAAACACCACCATTTTCTAAAATAAGCCTCGTGGGGGTGTAGATCTAGAAAGAAATTTTCGCACACCCCTACTCCGGTCATCGGCTTTCAACGCTTAAATATGGGAGAGACAACATGCAAAAGAAAGAAATCACGGCCCTCATGCGAGATCGACAGTAACCAACGAGGTAGAGCATGCTTACCCTTTTTATTCAATTTCGAAGTTGGTACAAAATGATTTGGTTCACTGCTTTGTCTGTGTATTTTTTTTTGCGGCTATCCCCCCTCGTAGTGTTACAAATGGATCTATTTATACTGAAAAACTAACTATTTTTTAGACTCCTATTTAAAATAGAACTCTAATGCGTTGTTGTTTGTTGATGATGGTGTTGGCCTCATGTGCTTTCCTTGCGCCGGAGAACTCGGACTGTTGGAGGTGAGAGTCATACGACCATGAGATTCGGGCGTGGGACGAGGCGCCGCTTGGGAGGCTAGGGTTCTGGAAACCCTAGCTCGCTGGAATGGTTTGCATGCAGTGGGTCTTGGGCTGTTTTATTTTCGTGTAATGGGCCTGTAATATGTAACCCCATGAATAAACAAATAAAATATTATATTCTATAATATAGTTTGAAATAATAAAAAAATATTATAAAAACTATATCAATGGATGAAATTCGATGTCTTCATCAGGGAAGCAACATAAGAACATTAGAAGATATGTTCTTATCAAAATGTGCAGTGAAAATTCGAGGACGAATTTTCTTATAAGGAGGGGAGAGTTGTAACATCCCAAACTATGGGTTAGTGACTTAATTGTAAAGTTTTAGAATTTGGTGATTAAAGTAGAAGAATGAATTAGTTCAATTATTTATCTGAAAATAAATCCTAAAAGTTGTTAGTAATTATTAAAGGATTTTAAGGGCAAAGTGGTCATTTGACTTGGAAAGATAAGATAATGATATATATGGGATAAGATTGAGAGATTTCTCCAGAAACTCTCTTTTCTTCTTCTTCTTCCTCTCCTCCCGTATCTCAAAGCTCAAAGGTGAGTCTTCTACTTAGTTAATTATTTGTTAAGTTTAAGATTGGGTTTTGATCATTAGATGATAACTAAGCTTAAAGAAAGCTTAAGTTATCTTAAGATCAAAAGATAAAGGAGATAGAGAAGATTAAAGATTAGAGGTTCTTGAATGAAATATGGGAATAGAGTTCATAACAAGAATTGAAAATTGGATTTGACTTGTTATCAATCTAAGTAAGAGATATGAATTAATAGAATTGGATTTGAAACATATTGCAAAATTGATGTAATTATTGAATTACATATTGAAGATAGGATTTTGAGGTTTAAGATGAAATAAATGAATATATATTGGTTTAAGTATGTGTACTAGAGTTAAGAATGAAAAAGGGGATGATATATGAAGTGTTTGAGAGGAAATGAAGTAATTTTCGTGCTGAAAAATGATTTTTGGGTTAGGGGGAATCGATACCCATTCAAAGGGGTACCGATACCCTCTCAAACGACATAATTCCAGAATGTCATGAGGGTATCGATACCCCCAGTAGGTAATCGATACCCCCTAAAGGAAAAATATGAATATTGGTTTAATAAGTTTGTTTAAGTTGCTAGTATTCAATTACAAGGTGTAGGTATCTAATGATTGCCTCAAAATGTACATTTATGTAGATTCTGGGCGTAAAGCAATTCCGAAACATTTGACAAGTAAGATCGATCAAGGGAAAGATAAGATATTGGAATTTACTAGTGAGGCCAAGGTGAGTGCATACTAGTGATATGTAGTGTTTAATGGAAATAAGACTTGCGATGAGTCTATTTCCTAGAGTAATATGCATGAAGTCATGGACATGATTATGTGTTGTTATAATTATATGTGATTATCTGTATTACATTGATTGTATGTATGCATGGCTAAAGATAATGATATGCTTTGTATATGTTATGTGATTATGAATAGGTAGAAAGGAAACAAATGATGATATAAGAATCTATTATAAGATATATGATATAAAAATATGATAGTGAGCTATGTGAAAGAACTATGAGATATATGAGTTATATAGAAAATATATGCGAACAAGATATGACATCTATGTTTATATGAAACAATGCAAGGTGATATGAGCTATGTGAGATATGAATATAAAATCATATGAGAAGTGAAAAGAATTACATGAAAATAGACTAAGTGATTACATGTATATGTGAAAGAAGCTATATGATATGATCTATGTGATTACATGCAACATATGATATTAGATATATGTTTACACATACATGTGGTATGTGACAGAAGAGAAGGAACATGTGATTATGAGATCAATGATTACACGTACATGTGATACGTGACTGAAAAGAAAAGATATATGTTTATAAGAGAAAGAATATGAATAAGTAATGTGAACTGTTATAAATGATAATGCCCATGTTATATGATATGAGAGCTAGGGGTATAGTTGGCATGCCAAGGGTCGAGGGTTTACCTATGTTCTTCGAGACATATGGACTGTTTACCTATGTTCTTCGGGACATATGGACTGTTTACCTATGTTCTTCGGGACATATGGACTGTTTACCTATGTTCTTCGGGACATATGGACTGTTTACCTATGTTCTTCGGGACATATGGACTGTTTACCTATGTTCTTTGGGACATATGGACTGATTACCTAGGTTCTTCGGAATCTATGGACTGGTCTTTCGGGACATTGATCGAGCTATGGTGACAACATATGTGTGCACAACCTCAATGTACTCACATACCTTAAGTTCTCACTAGTGTACATGGGCTAATAAAGTGATTAAACAAGCATACTGAATGTGATATGTATACGATGGGTTTATAAATGGTTATTAAATGTAAGTGGTTTGAAATGTGTTACATGAACCATATGATGTTATGTGTGTTTCTTAATGATAATGATAGAGATTATGATAATTATGGTATATGTTTATGTATGATTTATGTTATATGAAATATTATATGTTTTATATGCCTCACTAAGTCATCGACTTAGCGTGTGATTGTTTCACACGTAGGTTTGGAAAGCGAAAAGAAAAGTAAAGAGGAACAAGACAGGTCAGTTCTCCTTACCGTATGTCAGATCAGAAGAGATGTGAATTAAATGTTATAAAAGTTTTTAAATTACTCACTATTTTATACGAATAAATTTTCGAAAAGTCAATGTGACACTTCGGACTCGTATCCTGGTCGGATACGGGTTGGGGGTGTTACATCTTGCTTGTCAATTGACCTTTTTACCCTTTAATTCATTCAATAATTACTAAATAACCTTCATCATATTTCCAATAAATCATTAAACTATTCAATTATCCTACTTTAATAACTAATTTCTGAAACTTTATAATTTGGTCACTAATCCGGTATTGAGGATGTTACATTAGGGTTTGTAGTATCGGTACTACTATGTAAAGTAGTATCGATATTCCTAGAGTATCAATACCAATTTTACATTCTGAAATTTGAACACGATTGAAAACAACATATAGTACAGATGCTACCAAGAAAGTATCGATACTTCTCTTATCTATGGTATCGACACCACAAGAACAATTTCGATACTGTAAGAAAAATATCGACATTACTTACTAAAAAATCATTTTATGTTCAAATTTTTGTTTTATAGACTTTAAATTATTTTTGAAATCTTTAAACAAATTCAATTACATCCAATAATATTTTACCCTTATTTATTATAGCAAAATATAGTTTCAACATATTCAAACTCTTGTGCTCTTCAAAATCACAAGTTTTTCAAAAAAACATATCAAATTTTGTCATTACTTCACGTACTATGCATGAGAAGTGAATTTAGTCTTTGTATTATAATTTGGTAAATTTTAATTGTATTTTTTGAAATTTCAATTCATACACAGGGACAACGTGATGAAATTATAAAAATTTAAAATGATTATATTAGAGAACAAAAATTAATTTATTATGCACAATATAGATTTTACGGTTACTGTTTGGATCAAGGTCAAGATTTTAAAATCTGGACAGTACACAGATTAAATCTATAACTTTCACATAGTATAAGGACTAGCCTAGGAATTTGACAAAACCACACTAAGAACCCTAGAAGGAAAGAGTTGCATTCATGTGAAGAAAAGAACAAAAAGTTCGAAACGCTGTCGTTTTGTACAAAGAGACCAAGTTCCCACGCTCTGCATCCACGCGCCATCAACGGAATTTTATTTACACCTTGAAAAAGGAAAACAAATAAATAAATTTTTTTAGTATTTTCTATTTTTTTTTCAGACGAAAATGTGAACAAATTTTCTGGAACCAGAGAAAGGGACCGTAAAACGAAACTCGGCACCGCGTCGCGGAACGAGTCAATTCTGAGTCGGCGCCACACTCGTCGATCTCTACAATCTCTGTCGTCTGATCATCAATATCTCTCTTATCGTGAGTTAAAAGAAAAAAGAAAAAAAAGAGGAAGAAGAAGAATATTGATTAACGAATTTTTCAAATTTGATTGATATTAAAAGGGATTGTTTATGTAATATATATTTGTTTGATTTTGGTAGGATTCGCGTCGATTTTGGGAGATTTTCTGTGGGTTTTGTTGTTGTTATATATATATATAGTTTTATTTTTAATTTTTTTCAAAATTCTGTGATGTTGGATATTCGGAAAGGTGCGGAATTTGAGGTTTAAGGTTTTTGCGAGGTTAGGGTTAGGGTTTTTGGAGGAGGTGGTGGGTTTGGTGATGGATGAAAACTCCGAGCTTGAAGAAGGCGAAGCTTGCTTTCACGAAGACGAAGACGAAGACGACAATATTAACCTCGATACCGCCTTCTCTTACATTGTAAGGGTCTAATTTTTGGAGAAAAGACGAATTAATTTTTGCACCTGTTTTCTCATTCCAAAACTTGGAATTATGCTTCAGTTAATGCCATTTGAGTTTTGGGTAGGAATTAGGCTGAATTCAGAGTTTCATTATGCATTTATGATACTTTGTAGGCAATGCAATTGTATTAAGCTTTGTTGCAAAGAATGGTGAATTTGAAGTTATGCTTAGTTTTGGGTTTGTTAAGCATAATAGGCAATGTGCTTATCAGCATAAGATGTGGCTCTCAATGGACATTAGGGTTCTGAGGCTTTAAGTTTGAATTTATTTGTGGTATATGACCATTGATTCACTGATACAATTTGTTGGTTGAGAAATGATGAAGACTGATGATGGTGAATGTTGATGAATGAGATGATATTTTTCACTTCTTTTGCATACTTGGTGGTTGTCGATGTTAATTTTTCATCAGCAGGAATGTTAAGAAACAACTAAAAGAATATATTTTAAAAGGATATTTAATGTCTTTGTGCATTTTTATAGCTAGTTATGCAATGTGACATGATAATGATAAACTAGATACACCATTGTAAATCATTTCCTAATTTATTATAAGTTTGAAATTAGATTACTTTATTACTAACAATTTTTTGACATATTACTTGAGAAAGCTGATGCATGGAAAAGAAAGTAAATGATAACCTGAACTTCATAAAACACTTGTCTCTCGGCAGAAATTGGCCTGTATGATCTCCGGATTTTCATCAACATTTTGGATTTTTTTATGTTCATACTGTTTGCTGAATGCCTAATTAAATGTTATTAAATTCATCGTTTTAGTTTATTTGATCTAATTTTCATTTGAAATATTGAACTACAATTAGTTCATGTTATTGTTAAGCTCCTGGCAAGAACGAGATGCTTATAACGGTTGGCTTGTTGTGCCTTTTATAGATGTACTTCAATCTGGTTTATATGTCCGTTTTAATTTACATTTTCAAAACTCTCTATGTTATTATGGTAGTAATATGGGATTTTATTTCTTAAAGGATGAGAAGATTAAAAACGTTTTGGGCCATTTTCAAAAAGATTTTGAAGGCGAAGTTTCTGCAGAAAATTTGGGTAAGTGGTTCATCGCTGTTTTAACAAATTTGAAGTTATATTACAAGCTTAATGTTTTTCATTGAAGATGATGATTTTTAAATTATTCTTTTTTCTGGGGCAAAATTTGGTGGATATGGCTCTTTTTTGCCTACCTATGAACTTTCTCCTCCAAGATTATCACATCCGAAGACACCGCAGAGGAACTCCTCAACCAACAATTTCTTCATGGAAGTATATGGATGATATCCTTGCTATAGTTTGGTCATTGCTTCAGAAGAAGAAGTCCATAGCTGTTGCTTTGGCAACTTAATAAAATTCTAGTTTACTTGAGTGCTGTGGGTTGTGTTACCATACAGGGTGCACCTCAGAATTTGAAAGCTCCTCCAAATGCACCCCTAACTGGGAGACCAGGGAACATTTTATGCCCAAGTAGCAATATTGCAGCTAAACATAATATGCATTTGACTTCTGCTCAATTTGCTGAGAAATCTTATTTGAAGGATGAGAGTTTTAATAGAGCAGAGATTCCAAGTGATCAGAAGACATTGAAGGTTCGAATTAAAATGGGGTCTGATAAAAAAGAACAAAAAGTTGCTGCAGTCTATAGTGGTCTTGGGCTTGATTTTTCTCCATCTTCGTCATTGGGGAACAGTCCTGATGAAAGTGGAGGAACATTAAAGATATCTCAAGAAAGCATTCTTCAGGTAGAGGTTTCTTTTGGTTGTTTTCAGGTCTGCATATGAATTAAAGAAGGATGGATTGATATTTTCTGCCTTTAAACAGGTTATGACTTCCAATCATGTCCCTGGTGTTGTGCTTATATCTCCTCTTCATGACAGCCAGCTATGCTTATTACGAAAGGAAAAGGAAAGACCTTCTAGAGAAAATAAATCTATCCCATTGCTCAAGGCATGTCAAAAACATCCTTCCGTGTTAATAAATGAATCTGTTTTGGGTAATAGAAAACAACTAAATGAGAAGAAAACAATTTTTTTAATCGAGAAAAGTGAAGAGATGGTGGAATCAAAGCATGGAAATCGCATGAATGTTGAGAGTGGGAAGACATCGCTCATAAAAAAGAAGCATGAAACTGAGATTGCAGGAGGAGAGTCATTTCCCAATGACTTGAAACACACAGCTCCAACTAGTTCAGTGAATATTGCTGTGGAAGCCACCACCAGGGTCTGTGATGTCTCTGCAGAAGCTAATCAAAATGCATTGAGGGGTGGATTGTTTTCCTCTGACTCTGCAAAGGAGGATTCTTTGGAGTCAATATCTGGAAGGAGCAGATCGAGTGGCAAGAGAAAGAAGCGGGATAAGCGTAGTATTTTAGAGGAAACGGGTTGGGAACAAAGTGTAGATAATTCCAATAAGAATGCTTCACTTGACCTTGGGGACAATGTTAGAAGCAAATGCTACCAAAACTCTGCTCCTTCTAAGCTTGAGGAAGATTCAAAAACAAAGGTTGGTCAGATAGCTAAATTTCGTGTACAAAATAAAATAAGTATCTCTTCCAAGAAGGAAAAGACATTGTTTGAGGGCAAGAAGTCTGGAGAAGTTGCTAATTCGTTGAAGGAAAGCTTGAAACCTGATGTGGGTGTGACCCTTAAAGATACCACTAGTTCTAGTCAAGGTTTTTCTTCAGGTAAAGAAAAGATTCGGAAATTGAAGTTACAGAAGGGTATTAATAAGGTCCAAGATAATCGTAGAGATGCACCGGAAACAAATTCCGAACAGAAAAGTTGCCAGATGGAGCCAACAATAAAGCATTTTCAGAATAGACCAAAAGATTATGGTCCAGTGGATTTTGAGACAGAGCATAATGGCTATTTGGATAAGTCAAAGGTAAAATTTAGTGGTTGGACGGTTGATAACCAGCTTTTGGGAATGGATGCTCCAGATGCGGTTCCTCACCTCAATGATAAGAGACTTGCTGCTCAGACAGCTGCAACTGCTCCTATAGTCATAGAAGAAAATTGAGTTCAATGTGATCATTGTCACAAGTGGCGACTTTTACCTTTTGATACTAGACCAGAACAACTCCCTGAGAAGTGGTTGCGTAGCATGCTTAACTGGTTATAAGTTATTTAGATAAGCATCTAATATAGGTTTTGTTGAATACATGTCTTTTTGTTTGAGGCCATGCTATGTGTCTGTTTATCTTCTTGTGTGCACATGGTCCTTGCAAATAATTAGAATAACCTGGTGAAACTGAATAACAGGTACACGTATAGATGCATGTCCATGTGTGTGAACATATGCATTTATATTTTTCCTTTGCTGATTTCTGTTGTTGAAATAATTGTATAGGCCAAGAATGAATCGGTGTGACATTAGTGAGGACGACACAACAAAAGCTCTCAATGCATTATACCAGGTTCCAGTTGCTGAGAATCAAAATAACCCACAAAATCATGCCAATGGAAATGTGTCTTTAGTTACTTCAGCTCAACCTCAGCATCTTGATCAGAACAACTCTAGTTTTAATTCTCAGTCCTTTTCTGTTCAAGGAAAGAAGAACCATGGTCTTAAGGAAGTGCTGAAAGCAGGTAGCAATGGCCTGAATCAGATGTCAAACTCTAAAAAAAACAACAGAAGGAATCTTTGAAAAGTAAGAGTCTAAATGACATGACTCAGGCTCCTGTTGAATCAATTGTCATGAAGAAATCCAACTTTGAAGAGAAAGAAAGGCTTCTAGTTGGAGTTATTTAGTTGTTATTACAATATGAATTTCAGTAGTAGTCAGACTTTTATATTGAAATTATTGTTATTCATTTTGGGCATTGTTTGATTGTAGGTGAGACTAAGAAAGCAAAGATGAAAAACAAGAGGGAGTCTGGTCCTTATGCATATGAAGGTTCAAAGAAAAGAAAAGCAGAAATAGAATACACTACAGATAAGCATCACAGTTCTAACTTAGATCAAAGGGTGGACCTTAATTCAAGCACTAGTTTGCCAACTCAAGCAAATGGAAGAAGCGTGCAGAATTACAATGGGAGCTCTAATTCTGGGGACGTAAAACATGATATTAAAGAAAAATCAGTAGCTTCTATGAAGAAACTTGTGGATCAAACTCAGGCCTCATCAGATGGTGGGTCATTAGACGTTAGAATATGTGATAAAAGGGCTCCTGTCAAGAAAAGGAAATTGGAGGACTGGCAGGACAGTCAATTTGGGAATGAGCCATGCATGAAGGAAGAAAGTAGTGGGAGTGGTTTTAGGAATGAAAAGAAGTTACGGTTTTCTAAGATTGAGGGGAAGCAGTCCAATAGAAATGATGGTGATGGTACACCTAACAGGAAAAGTATGGATCATTTGATTGGTGGCATTGAAGTCCGATGTATTGATAGGAACCAGAGATTAAGTAAGCACAAGAAAAAGTCCTCATTTCAAAAAGAATTGGATGGCCTTGATTCATCAAAAAGGGATTCCAGAACTGGACAAATTTCTATTCCGGCAACTTCTAGTTCTTCAAAGGTTTCCGGTTCTCGTAAAACCCAAATAAATTTGGAGGCAAGGGGTTCGCCGGTTGAATCAGTTTCTTCATCTCCAATGAGGACCTCATATCCAGAAAAGCTTGCATCAACTACTGGTTCAGGGAAGGATTCTGCAAATAGTGGCATTCCTTCAAGTGGCAATCTTAGAAGATGTTGGAATGGGGAAGGTACTTTTGAGCTTGCTCAATCTGGTACAGAAAAGGGTATATTGACCAAGGTATAGGAGGTATATTGAGAGATTGGGAGTGTCGCACACTTTTGACTTTTTCAGAGAAAGTTGACCAAGGTACTCCTCCTCTAGCTGAATTAAAGGCTATTAAAAGGGGTATTGAAATTTTTCTGGCTTCAGTTTGGGTTTCTGTTGGGAGATTGATTGTTGAGAGTGATTGCAAGTCGGTAGTGGAATGGATTAAATCACCGGCTTTGGCTCCTGTTTTCTACTCGTCTTTGGTTAATCAGATTTTGACACTTTCAAATGGAAAGGTTCATTCAGTGAGGTGGATTCCAAGAGCGAGCAATGGGGAGGCTGATAGCTTAGCTAAGAAAGGGATAGGTTGACTGTAAAGCCCTGTCACTGGATTTTCTGGTCCAGCGAGACGGTCTATTAGAAAATTGTTGTCAAGTTTTATGGGATGTATTGTGGTGTGGTGTTTAAATATTATGTAAGATTGTATTATCAATAAAGTTTTTAAGGCACTCTTTTCCTCCTTCCGCTGATTAAGGAGCTTACCCCTAAGCTCCTTTAATCAAGAAGAGGGTTTTTAACGAGGCCTTCCATTCCTATCAAAAAAAAACCTGGTACAGAAAAAGAGAATATGTCAGGTGATTTTAACACTGGATCCCATAAATCTTCTACCTTGGATTAACGGGATAAAGATTCTATTTGCAAAATCAGCATTAGAAGTAAACCTTCTTCTAGGTTGAGGAATAGCCATGTGCTCAATGGTGATTCTCATTCTGCTGAGAATGTGCAGCATGCGATCGAAAGTTCCCATAATGAGGATATACTGAACAAGGAGTGCGTTGGCAATGCATTATTTTCTCAGAAATCTAAGAAGGCTTCTAATTCACAGAAAAAAAACAATAAGGGAAGTTCTGCTGCAGATAAGATGAAATGTAGCGAGGAGCCGAGGACGAGAACTATTCTGGAAGGAGGAATCCTTCAGGAAAACCTTCAAGTGATAGTAGAATGGAGACCCAATTGGATATAAAGCATGATGAATCTGATGTAAAATCTTCTGCTCCATGCAGCAAAAAGGGGAACTCTGCCCCTGAGAAAAATGTGATCCAGGATTTTAGTGGTCAAACTAAAGTAATGCAAGCAGAGGTAAGAAGCAGAATGCCAAAATCATCCTTACGTTCTGAAACTGAAAGTTGGCAAGAGAAAAAAGGTCATCGAACAGTACCTGAAGCAGAACACGGAGTCATCTCTGATGGGATTCCAGGTAATGGCTCTTCCAGGGTTGGTGCGTTGAAGGCTTTAAAACAGCCTGGAAAAGCTAGCAGCAAGAATTCTTGCAGTCCTGTTAGAGAAAATTCCTCCAGCCTGACAGTAAAAAATGCCCTAAATGATGCTAAAGGACTTAGAAATTATGCTGATCATCTTAAGGTTTCTTTTCAACTTTTGTCCTTATGCCGCTTTCATAAAAGTTATAGAAAAAATGGCTTTGCTATTCTAACTGTTACTACCATTTCATTGTCGTTTTTCAGAGTTCTAGTTTTGTTTTTGAAAGCAATGAGATTTACTTCAGAGCTGCTCTTAAGTTTCTTGGTGTTGCTGCCCTTCTAGAGACCAGCAATAGTGAGAGTGGTAGACATGGAGACATGAACCAAATGCAAGTGTACAGCACTGCCACTAAACTTTGCGAGTAAGTGAATGTTTCTAAAGTGAAGGGAAACTGTTGTTTCTTGAACTTGGATATTTTTTTTGTTTGTTTAAATTTACAGTACGAGTGTTGATTTATCCCTATATCTTGCTTTATCTTGAAATTCTCAATTTGACAGAATGTGTGCCCAAGAATATGAAAAATGCCAAGAAATGACTGCTGCTGCTTTGGCCTATAAATGCGTGGAGGTAGCGTACATGAGGGTTGTTTACTGCAAACAATCTTCTTGCAGCAGAGACATGAAAGAGTTGCAAGCAACTCTACAGATGGTCCCTCAAGGTAAGAAGTCATTGGATGAATACTTAGGCAGCCCCCCCCCCCCCCCCCACACACACACAACATGATTTATTGCAAATCCGTTTAGATGGTGTGAACCTTCTATTTTGTCATGTTTCATTTTAAAATGTAACTTTTTTGCTATATAAGTTGTGTTATCTATGGGGCAGGAACTCTGTGACAATGATTTGTTTATTTGACAGTCAGCAATGCATGTGGTCCTTTTAGGATCCATTCGGAGCCATGTAAATATTTCATATTTGGTTTTCCCTTCGCACAGAAACTCCTCATTGGGCTTGTGCCCCACTTGTAATTTCATGTCATGCTTTGAGTAAACAAAATGTATTCACTGTACATAGATGACTTTTGTTTTGGTTAAGGTGCAACTTCAGTTGCAAAATTTGTTTCTTCCATATTAATTAGTAGTCTCACTTTGATGATGTAATTCTCAGATTAAGTACCTCCCAACATCTTTCAAAATTGCCTTTTTCAGGTGAATCTCCATCATCTTCTGTATCAGATATTGATAATAACTTAAATAATCAAGCAATTGTGGACAAGGCTCCATTAGCCGAGTGTAATGCTTCACATGTTGCTGGAACCCATGTCGTTGTTGCTAGAAACCGTCCAAGTTTTGGCCGGCTGTTTGACTTTGTAAGTTAATTCTGTCGGAAAGTGCCAGTCTTCCCCCCACCCTCCTTTCTCTTGCTTCATTATTATTTTCTAGGTTTTATGAGGCAGTGATTATGCCTATAAAATATTATTTTCTCCTTGAATGTTCCTTGGTAGTTAAAGACCAATTATATAGACTTGTAAAGTAGTTGTGAGGTTGTTGGAGATGGATATGATGTTAATTTGGTGAAAATAAGGTGATATCTGAATGAAAAAGTGTTGAAGAGGATAATGACTGATGAGAACACCTAGCAGGCTAGTACTGACCATGCGGTATAGACTTGCATTTTCCGACCAGGGTTCTTTGTTGGTGTTGATCTTTCTTAACTTGCTGGTAGTAGAATTGAATTTCTTATTCTTTGAAAGATCATTTGATAGCCTGAATGGAAGTCAATACACTTGTTTTTCTTCACTGTCTAATAAATGGATGTCAACAGCCTGCCCAAACTTGTAGATTTTAGTGTCAGGCTTATGCTGTTTTCCTTCTTAATTTGGGAGTTTGCCTGTCGAAAAGTTTGGGAAAAATAATAAATAAGATCCAAAGCCTGCGCAATGATTTTATCGTATAGCTACAAATTCATTCTGTACTGGCCATAGATAACCACCCGGTATAATCTCATATGAACTTGGTAAGAATTTCGTCTCTCAATGTCTATGCTAGCTGATTAGGTGGTTCAATTAGGTAAATGTGTTAATACGTTAATATTCTGCAGACACAGGATGTAAGTTTTGCAATGGAGGCCTTGAGAAAATCCCAAACATGTTTCATAGCTAATGCTACATCCCTGGAAGAAGCACAAGATATAGAGTGGATTGCTTCTGTTATAAAGGTGATTGATTTCAGCTTTCAATATGTAGATGAATTTATATCTTTGGTTCAGCAGGCTACGCAGGCTGTAGGTTGTTCTGGTTAGGTAGTGCTGTATATAATATTGTGTTTGTTTGGATTATAACCCCCAATGTGCATATTGGAGAAGAAAGGTGAAAAAGATGCCTACTTAGACCTGCATTCGGAAACAAGAAAAGACGTCAGTCGCCAACAACCTATTGCCTCAGTGTTCATGTGTATAAAGTGAGATTCGGAGTTCTATGTAAGATATCGGTTCCGTATGGTACTATTTTTTGCTCCATTTTTTCGGGGCCCAAAGAAATGAATATATAGAGAGTTTGGAATCATTGGGCAACCATTTTCAAGAGGTTGAATATTGATGTTGTATTGAGAAATAATCAATTTATTCACTAACAGTTCTCTATTCCGTTTACAATTTTTTCCCCATAAATTCTATTGGAACTGAAAATTATATTGTTTTGGAAGGTTCTTTTGTATTTTTATTGTTGTCAAGCTTGAGTTTGATTTAGACAATGGTAAATGTTTCCAACACAGGCTTTTGTGGTGCTTGTTTTCACAACTCATCTGAGAACTGTGAGATAGCTGTCTAATACCCTTCCGTATTTGTATCATGTTCGTATTATTTTTGTCTGCGAATTTCTTTCATGTTTCCATAAACTTGTCTGCGACCGCGATCGCATCTTAAGCATGTAATCGTTGTATGATGCATTTCTCATCCTGTTAGAGGCCTTGGTGGAATAAAATGCAGCAGTAGCTTTAAACATGGTTTGTTCAATGTATCTTTCATAGCATCTAATTGAGCCTTGCCCAACACACCCACATAGATACCCGCAATGTTCCTTACCTTGGCTTGATCATTATCTTCTGTTTCCTGTTCTGGGTCCATCTCGGGTTGGAAGAACAACATTAATGAAAACACGATGCGATTGAAAACACGAAATAAATATGAAAGAAATGCATGCAGAAGTGGATCATACAAGGGACGATACATCATCTCTGATTGAATATTATCGAGGGATTCCAGACTCAATACGTTTGGTATTGTATTTTTTTTGGAATCCATGTTTAGTTTGTTTACTTGGTAGTATACAGGGTTCGCTTGGGCTTTAAACTTATATTGTATAATGAGATATTAGAAAATTACATGTATTTATGCTCTTTATGATCTCTACGTTTACAAATAGATTTGTATTCTCTAATTTGTGGAAGTAAATAAAATTAAATCATGTTAAATCTCGTCTCTGACACGTGTCTTATTTCACATTGATCTCATGTTATTTTCTTTTCCGTTTATAAATTACAAACTCCACCAATAGGGTTAGGTTTACACATGTTAAATAAAGTCTAAACAAACGGTCAAGGAATCCAATCATTTTTACGAACATTTTATAGATAAAAATGATCATTTTAATAAATATTGAAGGTTATTTTTGATATTATGTTAAAATTTTATAGAATTGTACATTTTTTAAATTTTATTAATTTATTATCTAATATAAAATTTTATGTCGTCATAAAGACACCAGCTATCTAAAATATTGCATGGACAGAGAAAACTGTCTGGCATGGGATCTTTGAATGCGTATGAAAGATTTCATCGTTTGGTGTCATGGTGACACGATCAACATTAAATACATGTATATATACTCAAATTTGAATCTCCAACTTTATGGCCTTCCTTCGAATTGTTAAAAATAACTCGGAATATAATTTCGAGATTCGAATTTTTAACATATATATTATAGTAAAAAGAAAATGTATGTTGGAGAGTCCAATAATTTCCGTGTGAATGCTTTCCTTTTATGTTGAACATGAAATATTCTGTGTTTTTGGAGTTTCGGAGATGGGGGATTCCCTGAATGTTCAATCTGTACGTACATGAAATGATTGGAGGATACTTTTTAAGTCCACATAATACATATATATATATATATATCGCTGTCTCCCACTCTGTATATTTCAAATTTATTTTTCTTATTGGGAGGCTAATTTTATAGTGAATATCAGATGTCTGCCCCAACTGAAGCCATACGTACATAGATGGAGCTAAAATTTTATATTAGATGACAAGTTTTTAAAATTTTATGAATAGACGAACTTATAAAATTTCAGACTATAAAAATAGATTATTAGTTAAAAATAAAAAAAAAATATTTAAAATATATATTAATTTAAAATTTTCAAAAATAATTATCTCCACCCATATATATACACACATTCTGAAAACCCTAAAAGCTAAACTTGAACTGAGGCGAAAGACTTAGAAAGTCGTTTTTGGATTTGAACAGACATCGAGCCAAATGATGATACAGTATATGTATATATGTGTGTGTCTCAGTTGAAAATGGTGGCTCCATGCTCATTAGCTCTCTACAATGAGTTTAAAGGAACCCCAACCTACCAAAAGTGTTGGGTTAAAAAGGAGAGAACTCGAATTCGAATATTGAAAAATGGTAAAAACGAATAGAAAGACGTTAAAAAGGGACCTTAACCCTAAATACAAAGTCCACATTGACTAATTATAATCCCAAATAAGAGGGAGAAATTGACTAAATTGATGTAGAAAACTAACTCTGAAAGTCGAGATTAACCCAAATTCAGTACAGGAACATATCTAAAACTATATTTTAGGGTTAAAACATTTATATTAATAACTTATATTTTGTACGTATGAGGACATAATCAATAAAATAAATAACTAATTGTAGCAAATTCAGATTCTAAGGTAACATTTATTTACCTTGATTCACTATATATAAACTAGACTTTAATTTGCGGGAAACAAAATGCAACTATGTCATTCGAATTCAGATGCGAGTATTAGATACAAGAATATTCAGATTTATTAAGTTTCTTTTATATACAAAATGAAGTACTGAATCAACATATACATAAAATGAATTTCCTCACCTAATTCCCAAAGCAGTGTGATTAATGAAAACAGAAGAAAAATTGCAGAGATGGGGTGAAAACATGAACTAAGAAGCCATATATCAAAGAAAACAGATAAAAAACAACAATCCAAATCCAATCTTTGATGATTGATGTTATAGATTATGGTTAAACTCTAAAACAAAACAACTAAGTTCATCTCAATCAAAAGTCCTAAGGTTAAAATCTTTACTACTGCTACCAATGAAGCCGAACTTCAATGGATATCGTTCATCTTCTTCTTGATCTTTCGTCTTATTGGCTGCTGCTTTCTCGCCTTCGAGCTCTCTAAACTTACGCAAGTACAGTTTCAACGGCACTTCATAGTCGTCGAAGCCTAGGGTCGCCAAGGCCCAGCAAATATCATCGCCGTTAACGGTCTTTCGCCTCTCTTTTCTGCATTTCTGGGAGGCTTCGTTGGTGACGAAGCTGATGAACTCCGACACGCATTCTTGCATGGTTTCCTTTGCTTCTTTCGAGATTTTGGCGTTCTGGGGAACGATTTGCTTCATTATTCGACCCACGTTGGCTATGGGGAGTAACCGCTCTTGTTCTTTGAAGCCGACATCATGATCGTTCGAAGCTCCGACTATGTTTTCGGACATTGGATAAAGAAACCTAATTGTTATTGTTGTTGCTGCTGCTGTTGCTCAAGGTCAAAAGGTTAGTTGTATATGTATGTATGTATGTATGGTTGTATGAATGTATAGGCTTATGTGTTTATCGATATCGATGTGACATGTGATGAATCTGATTATCCGGTGGGGATCAGTATACTGGAACCATGTCTGCAGACTCAACGTCCAGTGAACAAATTGTATAAAAGGTATTGTACTATGCGTTATTGCCGGATTTAGTCCATATAAGTCACGTCAAATTCCCAAATTTTATGATTTTCAAAAGTAATTTTGATGTAAAAATTAAAATTAAAATACTTAATCTATTTTTTATATATTTTAATCTGATTAAGCTGACTTTTTTTTTTAATAAAAAGTCGAAAATTATAAATGATTAAGTTGATTAATGGATTTATTTCTTCTTTTTCCCCCTACATTTTGGTTGATGATATCAGATCTGATTATTACAAGTAAGAAAAAATTATTAATATACTGTAGATTTTAATATACATAAATATATTTATTACAACATTTATGAGTTTTATTTAAGCTTTCAAGTATAGGTTTAAGATTTTAGTGTTTGAAATTTAAGGCTTATGGTTTAATTAGGATTTTCGATTTTAATATTTTGAATTAAAAAAATAGATAGTTTGTGTAAAACAATTATGTACCGCAAAAAATATAATTATGAATTGATGATTGAGATTAAAATTTTGTACATTCACATTTTCCACCTATATTTTTAGTTGTAATTTTTTTTTCATTTTCAAGTTTTAATCTAAATCATCCATTTATGTTTATCTAATGATTCTAAATCAAAACTAATTAAGTGTTCTTAATGATAAAAGAAAGTGTTGTTCTCTAAAGGTCTCTGATTCAAACAGTTACGTCTATATAATGTGTACAACGTTGTCAATAAATAATAAAAATTTTCAACATATACCACTTTATAATCATCTCATATTATTTAAAAAAATCTAAATAAAAATAAATTTAAAAATTTTGTATAATGTAATACATATGCATACACGTAGGAAAGGAAACATAAGAAAAGACAATGAATATTCTTGATAAACTTGCTAGCATTAAAGCCATAAATTAAGTGCAAAAACCAAAGTGGGTCAACTCTATAGGAAAATATGTATGTATATGTATATAAACAAAGGAATATTATAATATAATGTATAGACACTACTTTCTTCGTTGAATAAATTTTTGAGTTTAGGGTTTGTCAAGTAATGGTTCATAAAACAAATGTATTAATTATTTAAATCTTTTGTATGAATCAACTAACTTTAGTAGTAAAAAATTTGTTATTGTTTCTAAAGGTCATGAGTTCGAACACCAGCTACTACAAGAGTGATTAAGCGTTCATTGTTAAATAGTCGAGAATACTTATAATAGATACTACTTTGTAATCACCTTTAACTTAAGAAATTTGATATATATAATATTTTTTGAAATTTTCATACAATTAAACAATAAATGATAAATAATTAAAATACTATCATGACGTCGATGATGATGATATATGAAGGTGTACAATTATTTTAAACATTTTTTCATATATAAAAAATATTTAATCAAGAATAAATCGAAAGGATAATAGGGGATTATATTTTTTAATATAAAAATATTTTATTAATAATTCAACTTTATATTTTTAAAATTTTATAATTATTTTTAAGTAGTCCGAAATGATTATAAGGTAATATTTGTTTAGAACTTTATTAACATATTGAGAATGCACAGACATCTTGCAAATACAGCTTCTCGAACCCATAATCTCTAAGAATAAAAATATTTTCTTTTATCATTTGAACCGCTTAATA